ACAATATAAATATATAATTAAATATAAAATTATAATATAAATATATAATATATACAGGATGTGTCATTAACTTTTGCCACCAACATATTAGACAAATTAATAGATCCGAAAGTATGATAGTAGTAGAAAAATTTTTACAATAAAAGTTGCATGAAACACCGTGGGCTATTATATGACGTTAGTTTTTTTTTGCTAGGTAGAATCGTTTCCGAAATTTAAACGTCAACTTTGTTTCTTTTAAATAGAATGCTATGTTTTATTACTTATTGTCTGATATAATATATATATTGTTCTTTTAATAATAAATTTGTAATTAATTATTTTTGTTTGATTACAATATCTTTGAAAATTGCAATAAAAAAATTATTTATATATATGTCAACAATCCTGAGAATCGAATGAATAATCGAGCAATCTCGGTTAACTAACAATCGCATAACCAAGTTGACGGATATTGTGGTTTTCTAAGAATCATTAGGAATTAAAGTACAATTGAAAAAAATAATACGAACCATTTTCATTCCCACATATTCATCCACATTTTATTTCCATTTTCTTTGTTCTTTCTTATCGGTCATTTAAAAACTAGAACACATTTAAAAAAAAAAAAAGAAGTATGTATGTATATATATAAATATTTTTCTTTTATTAACGAGTTCTGAAAGAATTATAAAACAACGTAAGAAATGACGGTAATTAGTGAATAATTAAACGTTCAAGGTCGAAGATTCTAATATATCATTGCATAGGTAAGAACAAAATGTTAGATGGTTTGCAATCATTTATATAATTATTAGTATAACAATAGGAAATAAATATATAATAGATTTATCGAAAGAGAGACTATAATTTTATTTTATTAAACGTACAAAAGTGTGTAATAACTATTCATTTAATTTATTATTTATCCAACATATAACTAAACGTGTCATAATTTCAATCGTCGTTTGTGTAGTGTCACGAAAAATCGTGTAATTTACTATTAATTAACGTTTGTAAATTCATCATGCGATGGAACATTTCATTTTTACACATATTCAAAGTTACTTTAGACACGTAAATTAAGATTTGTTTGTACATATAGAATTAAATACAAGTGGTTGGGGGGTGGGGGGTGGGGAGGAATTAATTAACTAATGTTTTCTTATTTTGCATCTCGTTAATCATTTTTCTCTCGCGTATATAATACTAATGTCATTCTATTTAAAATTGTTTGTTCTTGCGAGAAAAAAAAGAAGAAAAATTATTGGTGGCGTGTACGGACGTATGTGTCTTATTAAATAACTAGTTGACAATTATCGCACGAAAGGAAATTTTTTATAATATTATAACACCGATGATATTTAAAAAAAAAAAAAGTAATTTATTTATTTTCTTTTTTTAATATAAATATTGCACATTTTCTTTTTATTCATAAATAATATTGATTTGAAATTGGGAACAAAAATTTAATAATCTTAAATGTATGGAGAAATAGATGGAATGTTTATTTTGTATTTATGTTCACGGTGTTGTACCTTTTTATTTATTTTTTTTAAACTGTGCCATATGGAAGGACGATTAATCGATCCGCATTGCGGTTTATGTCACATTTATATATATATATATATATAT